ATAAAATGACCTTGGGAGGAACACAAGAGTTAAAGGTAAGAAAAGTAAATGTGTGCCTTAAAATTTTGACGTTCCTTTTGCATGAAATTATTGTATATCTAGGTGTTCCATTTTAATATAATATAATATTATAATATAATATTATTATATTATTAGTAGGTCAGCATAAAATGACCTTGGGAGGAACACAAGAGTTAAAGGCAAGAAAAGTAAATATTATAGCATACACAATCCTGCAATAACAATAATAACAATAATCTAAAAGTGGATATATATACAGACATGCAAACTGAACAGGTGAGGGAAGGTGAATGAGCCTACATCCATGAATATATATTGGTTTGACAGAGGATATTTCTATAAATGTATTTATATATGCTGCAAATATGTCCATGAGGATAGTGTAGCATACAGGGGGCAGTTATGAAAACTTCTTAGCCATAACCAAACATCTTGAGGGAATGAGTCACTGGGTCTGGGGGCTCAAGATCATAGTCTCAGGGGACATCAAGGTCAATTGGCATGACATAGTCCACAAAAACAGTGTTCTGCATTCTACTTTGGGGAAAAGCAACTGGGGTCTTAAAAGCTTGTGAGCAGCCATCTAAGAGCAACTACTGGTCTCTCTCCATCCAGAGCAAAGAAGAGTGAAGACAAGCAAAGATTCAAGGAAAGAATTAGTCCAAAGGACTAATGGACCACACGGATCTCAGCCTCTACAACCCTGAGATCAGAAGAACTAGATGGTACACAGCTACAACTCCTGACTGCTCTGAAAGAGATCACAGTAGGTGATTCTGGATGGACTGGGAGAAAAGTATGGAACAAAACTCAAAGTAATAATAATAATAATAATAATAAACAAGCTTACTGGTCTGATAGAGACTGGTGGAACCCCTGAGACTATGGCCCTCAGACACTCTTGAAGCCTGCACACACCTCCAGGATTCCCTTCGGCCAAATAATAGACAGGCATAGACTGTGAACACTAATATCAGGGAAGTATGCATTCCTTAGAACAATCAATCATACAAGGTCAAAAGGGCAGTATTTGCCCAGGGACAAAGCTCAGAAGGTAGGAAGGGATAGGAAAGAAGGACAAATAGCAATAGTAAACACAGGGAGGAAGTAAGAACAGTGCCTTTACATGGGGGGTTGCAATTAGTGTCACAAAACAAAATCTATATGAATTGTTGAATGGAAAACAAATTTGTTCTATGAATTTTCACCCAAATCATAATATAAAGTTAAGAAAAAAGATGACTTAATAATTATATAACACTTAGTATGTGACAAATACTGTTACAAATGCTTTGTATATATTTACTCTTTGATTCTTACTATCAGGCATATACTGTTATTATACCCATTTTAGAAATGTACTGTTATGTACTGTTATTACCTCCAATTTTAGATATAATCCCTGAATTCTACAGCTAAAAATGCCTTCATTTAGTCCAACTACATCATTGTACAGATAAGGAGATTTAAACAATGATAATAACAATAATTTTCATTTGTATATTACTTTACCAAACATTTTTATGTACATTATCTCATTTTTATTTAAATTCTCACCAGTTGAGAACTTGGGATGCCAGCTACTGAAGCCAGATAGCCTGCACAGCCACTTGGTATATCAATTGGTCAGCTACTACTCCTCCTTTTGCCATTGACATATTAGGGACCCAATGACTTGCCAATGACTAGACAGCTGCAGAGCTCTACTTATATCCCAGTTTTTAACAATAGAAAAAATAAAATATAACTAAAAGAAATAATTTTTACCTTTAATATGATATCTAAATATTTCCTGAGAAAGTTAAAAGAAAAGGAAAGAAACTTACCTGTAGATTCTACGACTGTTACAGCAATATAAAGGAACTTTTCATTTAAATCTTCTAGACTGTTGTATGATAGCTCTTTAACTGCTGTTTCACTGTTCAGTGTGATTCGAGCAATTCCATCTACCAACTTATTAAAAGGGGGGAAATTAAAGAGTTATTTCAGAGAAGAAGTTACAAAAAAAAAAATTAACAAAATTTGCTTTTCCTAGCCTCTAAGTTGAAGGCAAATATCAGAGGAATAGTTTAACTTGATCTATAAAATGGGTAATTGAGTATACAATTACACCTAGAATGTTATTTTCTAATTAATTTTAATAGAATTCTAGAAATGGAAGAGTCTTTGATATCATATGGTTCAATATTCTCTTTTATAATAAGAAAACGCAGGCTCTGTGTCTTATCAATGTTTCCCAACAAGTCAGGGGCCCGAGTTGAGACTGGAAGTCAAACCTCTTAACTCCCACTCTCTCCTATTCTCACTCTCTCTCTATTACTTCAAGATGTATCTGATAACATAGACTACTGCTGTTACCAGGAATGGTATTTCTCACACTTGAGTAATGTGCAAATAGACTCCACTTGAAGTGGGGAAAGGTACACTTGGATTTCATTTGTGGGTCCTAAGAGTCTTTCTGAGAAACCGTGACTTAAGAAACTAAAAACAATGCTACAAACAAATCTTTAAATTATGACTATTACCACAAAAGGGTTTTATCTTTATAAAAGATTTTCTTCTTATTTAGGTTATCATTAAAAGTAAAATATAATTTGGGTAAAGGGAAAGGCAATATACCAAAAGCAAGTGACCAGCATAATAACACTAAGGAAAGGGAGGACACAAAAGGTATGGAGAACAAAGGTAAATACTTTTATGTGCACAATACTGCATTACCAGTAATAACAAACTTAATCTATAGGTGGATACATAGGTACACAGGCAAAATGATCAGGTATTGGTAGGTGAATGGGAATATACCCATGACCATTTATAAGTTAAAAGGAGCACTGGTGGTGTAGTTGTTATAGCATTTGGCTGATAACATAAAGGTCGGTGGCTTGAACCTACCAGCTGCTCTGTAGAAGAAAGATGAGGCTGTCTGCTTCCATAAAGACTTACTGCCTTGGAAACACAACGAGGATCACTAAGAGTTGGAATCGACTTAATGGCAGTGAGTTTGGTTTGTTATATATAGGTTTGGTAGATGATATTTCTACATATGTATTTGTATGTGCTATAAGAATGTTACATATATAATAGAGCTAACAGGGCAAACAAATGATAACTTCTTAGCCATAGCCAAAACCTTAAGGGAGTGAGTTGCTGGGCCCACAGGCTCGGGATGTGGTTGCAGGGGATCGCAAGCTGAGTTGGCATAACATGTTGTTGTTGTTATGTGCTGTTGAGTTGGACCCAACTCATAGTGACCCCTCCTTGAGTTTCCGAGGCAGTATAACTAGAGAAGTAGATTGCCCCAACTTCCTTCCGAGGAGTGGCTGGTGGGTTTGAACTGCCAGCCTTCTGGTTAGCAGTCAAGTGCCTTAGGCACTATGCTACCAGAGCTCCTAGCATAACATACTACACAAAAAATATTGTTCTACATCCTACTTTGATGAGTAGTGACTGGGGTATTAAAACTTGCAAGTGGCCATCTAATATGTAACAATTGGTCTCTCCTTGACCAAAGCAAAGAAGAATGAAGAAAATCAAAGATGCATGGAAACAATTAGTCCAAGGGATTAGTGGACCATGGGAACTTCAGCCATGACCCTGAGACCAGAAGAACTAGATGGTGCCTGGCTACCATGGCCAACCAGTTGGAAAGGGATCAAAATTGCAGATCCTGGATAGAATGAGAGAAAATGTGGAACAAAACTCAAAAGCATTAAAAAAAAAAAAAAAAAGTCTTACGGATCTGATACATACTGGTGAACCCCCAAGACTTTAGTCACTAGTCATCTTTCAGGCCTGGAATTGAACTCATTCCCATGGCTTAACTTCCAGCCAAACAACAGAGAGGCCTATGAGGTGAACAATTACACAAGGTAGATGCACTCCTTAGAATGATCGACAACAGGAGATCAGATGGGCAGAATTTGTGCTAGGAGATAGCTCAAAAGGGTAGGAATGCATAGGAAAGGAGGACACAGGGCAAAGGTAACCATGGGGAGGGAGTAGGAAGAGAGTTGTTACATTGTGGGGATTGCAATCAAAGTCACAAAACAAAATATATACCAACTGCTGAATGGAAAATGAATTTGCTCTGTAAACTTTCACTCAAATTACAATAAAAAAAATTAAAATGTAAAAGTTAAACTACTAATGGAACATAAAAATGTTTATAAACCTCACAAAACCCTAAGAGTCTTTCCCTAATGCCAGTATGAAAAACATCACAAAAGACAAAAGAGATTGCTACCCTAATAATATGTTCTCATTGTGTAATAATGAATACGTTCTCATGGTGTAATATTCTTGGCAAGTTGGAATAATGGTTCATGATTTAGAGTCAATACCTGTTCCTTCTTTAATTTCCAAAGCTTATCTGCCTCCATTTGAAAGATGAGGTTATAGCCTTTAAGGATTCTGAAAGGAACTTAATTCTTGAAAGAGGGAAATCAAGTGGTACTTGTGACTTTAAAAGATTCTGGATAAATACACAGGTGTGGGGTTGTAGACAAACTGACAGACAAATGGTGGATTGCCCCATAGGGTTTCCAAGGCTGTAAATCTTTACAGAAGCAGACTGCCTCATCTTTCTTCTGTGGAGTGGCTGGGGGTTCAAACTGCCAATCTTTTGCTTAGCAGCCAAATTCCTTAGTCACTGAACCATCAGAGTTCCTACATATAGGTTTGAAAGGGATATTTCTACATACATGTTTCTATATGCTGTAAATATATCCATGTATATAGTGGAGCCCACCACTCATCTGTCACTTTGTTGTACTTGGTGGCTTGCGTGCTGCTGTGAGGTTGGAGACTATGCTACCAGTATTTCAGATACCAGCAGGGTCACCCATGGAGGACAGGCTTCAGTGGAGTTTCCAGACTAAGACAGACTGGGAAGAAGAAAGCAGCCATCCACTTCTGAAAGAACTTGCTTTATGAGTAACAGTGAAGAACTATTACCGGAAAACTTTATGAAGAGGTGTGAAACAGACGAGTTCCAGTAAGATGGAGGAATAGTCAGATAGACTACACAGACCCTCTTCAATAAAGAAAAGGGGAACCAATTAACATAGATACAGAAGATAATCCTGAGCCCTGAGCCTTGAAGGGAAAGATATAGAAGTGGACTAAATTCCAACTAGCAGAAGAAACACCAAAAAAGGAGACACTCAGAGCTGCGGTCTGGCAGCGACCCTGACAGCACAGACAGCTTGGATATTGCCGAGTGGTGGTAGGACCTAAGAATTAACCTAAAAATCAGCCCTGCTAGCCAGGGACTGCATAGAGGACTGCTCTGGTGGCTGGGGAATAAAAGGGGAAGCAGCGGAGAAGAAGGCGGGCTGAGCTGTGGATTTTCACCTGTCTGGAAGGCACAGCCATTTTGAATGTTTACAAGCGGTTTGACTATTTTGGATATTTAAGCAACAGCATTCTGACAGCATTCTCCCAGATTCCAGGGACTTAAGAACAGGCTCCACTTGCCGGGAACCGCAAGGACATTCCAGACAAGGATGACTGGAAAGGTGCGATAGTCCCCTTGTTACTCTTATACCCCACACCTTCTTGGTGAACAGAGGTGCGGCCATCCCTCACTCCCACCCACCTTCTGGGCTGGCAGGAATCCCATCCCAGTCTGTGTGCTCAGTCGGAGCCTGGGTGCCCTGCCCCACCCTGCCCTGATTTTTTTATTTTCTGTTTTCTGGTTTCTTGTTTGTTTATTTTTGTGTGTTTTAAAACTACTACTATTATTATTACTTTTGTCCTTTTTACTGTTATTATTTATTGTTCCCCTCCCAGGTTCTAGTTTTCACCTTTTTTTCTTTTTCCTGTTCTTGGTTGCAATTGTTTTTTCTTTCTCGAGGTTAACCCCATTCCTTGATTTTCTTTTTGGTTTTTCCCATTTTTTTCTTCATTATTCACCTTCTCTACCTTTTTTCTCTTATTACTCTCTCCCCAGATATTGTGGGGTTTTTTTTTTTCTTTTTCCCTTTTTTTGGTTACTGTTCCTGTGTGATTACATGGTGTGTGTTTTGTCTATTTGCTTTTACTTTTTTGATGGTTATTCAACTGTTATTTTTGTCTAACTGAGTGGAAGACAGCAGTGGTCCCCATACGACACAACTACACCCATATGTCCTGCAGCTTCACTTATGGAGTGAGAGCCATCACTTCCTTCTCCACCAATGGGCCAACGATAAACAACCACCAAGAAAAGCCTGCATCACCCTTGGCTGCTCTTCACAAACAGTTAACAGAGATCTAAATACAACAACGCCATGATGCCTCAGAGACAGCAGACCATCACAGTCCACACAAAGAAGCAAGATAAAGTGGTAGAAATAAGGGAGCAGGATACAGACCCAGAACACATCCCTGAGGAAGAAGCAGCATT